GCTGGGGACACTGTTGGGGGAGCCGTGAAGGAGGCTGAGGAAGAGGAATTGAATGCCATCACTCTTGGGCGTGGGTCACCACCGGGCGCGGGGGAGGGGGGGCTGTGGAAACACGGATTGCAGGGCCCACTCTCAGAGGGGTGAAGCAGTAGATCTAAGGTGGGACCTGAGAATATGCATTCCTACAAGCTCCCAGGTCATGCTGAGCCTGGGTCCACACTCAGAACCAGAACTCTATCCTTCTCTTGTGGGCAGCATTTTAAGTTTAGAAAGCATTTGAACATCACCGTCACCTCGTCTCATCGGATCCTCCCCTCCCCTGAGAGAGAAGGGGGCAGGCAAGGGAAGGGCCGCAGAGGTGCAGACTGAGCAGGGCCTCCAAGAGCACATGGAGCGATGGTGCAGCCCAGCTCCCCTCCCCTTGCGGGGCATCTCTCTCCCCACCTTCAACTCCCACCCCGCTGTCTTGCCCACCAAGTTCCAGCCCCGGGGCCTTCTTTCCTTGGCACTGGGGTCACTGGGCTGGTTCAGCTGCAGCCCGGCATTTACACTCTCGTCCCGGAACACTGCAAGGCTGGCCCCCTTCTCCTCACTCGGACCTCAGCTCAGAGATGAGCACCTGGGGCAGTCTCCTTTCACCACCCCTTCCGAAGCCCTCCCCTCTCTCCCCGCCTACGCTGCCCCATACAGTAACCAATAACCACATGGGGCTGTTTAACGTGTAATTAATTAATTAACGAACTAATTAAGACAATATTTAAAATTCAGTTCCTCGGCCACACGAGCCACATTTCAAGTGCTCAGTAGCCACATGCTGGCTACTAATATTGGACAATGCAGATACATACATGCTGCTGAAGCGAGCACTGGACAATGCAGATATAGAATATTTCACGGAAATTCTACTGGACAGCACTGCTCATACCTTTATTTTATTATCTTCTTAGTATTTATCACTATTTGAACCTTTATTTGTTTACTTATTTGTTGTCTGCCTTCCCCTCCTAGAACATAAATTGAAGACAAGGAGTACGATCCTCTTTTTTACCACTGCATCCCCAGTGCCTGGTATAATAGCTAACATATCTCTGAACTAGACATTCAAGAAATACTCACTGGGAAGGTATTTTTTGAACACCTGCCAAGATTAGGATTAGTTGTCCTCTATCAGAGGACAGAGGCCACCCTGAGACTCTTGTCCATCTGGGAGGAAATGGATCTGACTGTCCTCCGAGTGTTGTGTGATGGCACTGGTACCTTCCTCTGCCAGGTCCCTCCACGACTCCCCACCTCCAGCTCAGCCGCAGGGGAGAACTTCACCTGCCTTGTGCCCCCTGGTGGGGCCGGGGGGGGGGAGTCCCAGGGGAGCCGCGGAAGGTTTTATTCACTTCAGGAAAAAGACTCTCCCTGGACCTGGGAAAGGCAGAGCAGGGCATGGGAGCAGGTAGAGAGGGGCTGCCCAGGGCAGGGCGAAGAGCAGGAAGAACAGTGACTCACTGACCTGGGAGTTTTAAATGTGCTTGAGATACCCCTCCACGGAGAACCACCATCCCGCCCCCTCCTCCCTTCCAAACCTTGGGCTTTGCTTTGGCCTGCCTTGTAAGTTTCCCAGTAAAAGTTTACTTGAAAAAGTTCAGCTTTGTCCCCGATGACTTGAAAGGTAGAAATGTGCGTGGGGCATACTCTGGGATCAGGGACACCTGGGTTCAAATCCTAGCCCTGAAGCTCTGTGAACTTGACAACTGGACTCTTCGAAACTGTTTTCCCTCCTGTAGGTTGAGGAATTTAAACAAGATGGTGCAGGTGCAAGGCATAGCATGGTCCCTGGCACACTGTAGGTGTTTTGTGATTGATAATTCTCTTCTTTCCCTTTTCTCGCTATCTTGGGTCCAAAGACCCAGAAGAGTAGATAACCCTTGAAGAGAGCAACTCTGTTAACTGGAGAAACTGAGATGAGCTTTGAGCTAGAATAGAAAGATAAAAATGCCAAAACTCACGGAGAAACAGAGAGGGGTGGAATTCAGAAAGGGGTCAGAAGGACTGGCTGAGGCTGCAGCCCTTCCTGCCCTTGGCTTTTCCGTCTGAGACCAGGTCTAGTGCATGTTACCAAGGATAAGAAACAGCTCCATGAGTGACCTCTCGGTCAAGCATGGCAGAAGATACTGTCCTTTTCAAATATTCAAATCTGCAGGGAACCAAGAGGGCTGAGGGCTCTGAGTTCCCTCCAGGACACCTGGGCTCAAGAGTCCCCCAAAACATAATTGCCCTGTGGCCAGACTTACCAGATTCTGAGAGCCACATAACCTCCCTGCTTGTCTGAACTCAAGGAAGACCAGTGTCTGTTCGGGCTCCTCTCCTGAAGACCCGTGTCTGTTCAGTCTCCTAAGTTTGCTTGACTGTGTTACTCTTCCTCCACTGTTACTTACATTCTGATTTTCTGTTCTTGGGTTAATGGATATTTGTTTTGCTGAACCGATGAGCCCTTTGTAAGTCTTCTATCCTTTGAAGGAGGAGGGGGCAAACAAAGAAGCGAGGGCTAGCTATCCATCTGTGGGACATTCTTTCTTATCCAACGGATAAAGGGGATACAAGGAAAGGGAAATGAGAGAAGGGGCAAGTTGGGAGATGGACAAGGGAACCAGCAGCTGTCAACACCTGACACACAGCTGGTGAGTAGCAGGGCTGGTCTACAAATCCAGGAGTGTATGGCCAATGCCTAAGGAACAGAAGCAGCTTCTACGCTGGGGTTGTGGGTCTCCCAGAGTGGGGAAGGGGTCTCAAAGGAAAGGAGGATCTTACGGAGAAGAGCAGACCTGGTTCATCAGTCCAAGCGCCAGGTGCCAAGAGCCTATTAGCGCTCTGGGACCCAACTCCAAGTCAGTGCTCCGGGCGCCATCCAGTGGCCGCTAGGGAGACTGCAGGAGGAAAGAGCTGGCGAGGAAGGAAAAGCCAGAGAAGGCGGTCCCGGCCAGTTCTGGGCAGGAGGGAAGGAGGGAGCCGCTCTTTGCCCTCAGTGCTCCCCTCATCAGTTGAGGACTCGCTCCTAATCAAACTCCCCAGGCCGCTGCCTCACCCGGCTGGGGTTCTTTCACTGCGTGACCCTGGGCAGGCAATTCTGTCCTCTACACCTGGTGTGCCGATGAGGTAACATGCCAGGCACCTTGCTTAGCACTTCAGCTCACCTGCCGTTCCTGTGTGGGGAAGATCTCAGTCATCCTGCTCCCCCATACTCCAGTCACTCCTGACCACACACATTCATGCCCAGCAGGAACTCCAGCCATGGACTAGGTCTGGGCTCCTGGGCTCCTCCTCCAGGATCTCTCCCTGCTCACCTGCCCTTACCCACCTGTTCCACACCTGAAGGTCCCTCCTTCTGCTCCAGCAATAGTCAGGTGCACCTCACCCCCTCAGCCCTGAGCTACCTGCCCACCTCCCCTGCCATGGGCTTTTCTCAATTATGTTTCTCCCTCTTCAAGCCTAGCAAGGTGCCAGGCATAGACATGCTTCAGAGGTCTGCTCTGAGGTCAGGCTGTGGGGCTTCAGACCCGTGTGTCGGCAGAATAACGCCCCCCCCGAAAGAGGTCCACACTCTAATCTCTGGAACATGTGAATATGTCACCTTACGTGGCAAAGGGATTTTGCAGCTGTGATGAAGTCAGAGATTGAGATGGGGAGATTAGCGTGGATTATCTGGGTCAGCCCAGTATAATCACAAGCATCCTTGTAAAATGGAGCCAGGAGGGTCAGAGTCACAGAAGGAGGTGTGATGGCAGAAGGAGAGGTGGAGGTGACACCAGGCCACAAACCAAGGGAATTGGGTAGGCTCTAGGAGCTGGAAAAGGCAAGAAAACAGAAGCTTTCGGAAGAAGTGCAACCCTGCCAGCCCCTTTTGTTGGACTTCTGACCTCCGGAACTATAAGGTAATGAATGTGTGTCGTGTAAAGCCCCTGAATTTCTGACAATTTTGTCCCAGCAGCCATAGGAAACTAATACACCCTGGTTCCGCTTCTTACTAGTTCTGTGACCTTGGGACACTTACTTAACCTCTCTTTGCCTCAGTTTCCTCCCTGTAAAATGGGGATGGGAAAGGCAATCATTCCTACCTCATAAGGTTGTCTGAGGATAAAATGAAAACATTTGCAAATCACTTGGAGTAATGCCCAAGACAAAATATGTTAACTATTATTATAAGATTAATAGCTACCGTTCATTGAGGGCCTAATAAGTACCAGGCACAGTTCAGATGCCTTGGAATAACTTTCTCCATTTTCACCATCACACTTGGGGGTAACAGTTTCAATCCCCATTTTACAGATAAGGAAACAAACCCAGAGTAATTGGCCAAAATCTGGAGAAATTGAGTATTTTAATCTTAGCAATTTCTTACATGCACTTGGGCTCTTTCCTGATAGAGGGTTGGCTTTTGCTTTTGTTTTGGGAGGTGCGGGGGGTGAAGAGGGTGGGTCACAGCCTGAGCGGCAGCGCTGGCCACAAACCCTAACCTCCTCTTCTTCCTTCATAGCGCAGGAGGGACATAAAATCCAGGCGACACTCACCTATCCGCCCCCACCCCGTCCATTTAGGGGTTCATGACTGTCTCTCGCTTCCTCACCAACTCCCCGACCCAGTTCTAGCAGCTTTTCAGCCCGATCTGGGGGGCACCACGAGATAGGCACGGCCAGAGAGCGAAGCGCTACATCCTTCCGGGGGATGGAGGGGCGCAGTCTTGCTCAAACCCCGAGGGTTCGCGCTGAGCCCCCTCCCTTCCCGCAGCCCGCATAAGGAGCCGTCTGTTCGCGGCTGAATAAACAAGAGGGGAAAGTAGCGCCCGGCCCCCTGCCCCCCAGCCCGACCCCCGCACAAGGCGCCTTTCTCCGAGGAGCCGCCGTCCGGGCGCTTCGGGAGCGCGCGGCGTCTGGCCTCCCCTCCCCGTGGCGGCACAGCAAGACCCACAAACCGACCCCGTGGAAACCAAAAAAAGAGAAAAAAAAGAAAAAAAATTTTTTTTTTTTAAGAAAAAGAAAACAAAAAGGAAATCCAACAAAGAACTGAGCGCAGCACGCAGCGAGGGCGTGCGGACCTAGCGCGCCCCTCGGTCCCCCGCAGTCCGGCTTCTGGTCCAGGCGAGGCCAGCTCGAGCGCAGCGCTGGGAGCCCGCCAGCGCCCCCTCCCCGACAGCCCAAGTCCTCGGGGCCCCGGAGCTGCCCGGCCCCGGCGCCCCGACGGCGCCCCGAGGGCACAGTCCACGGGGCCGCGCCCCTGCCCGGCTCCCGGTCCCGGCGGCCCTCACTTCTGGGTGGCCAGCTGGTTCTCCAGATCCTCCAGGCGCGCCGTCAGCTGGGCCAGTGAGCGGTTAAGGAAGCCGCTGGGGGTCTCGGGGGTTCCTACACACCCCCCCACCCCCAGCCCGGGCCCCCGGGGCCGCGGGGCCCAAAGGATATGGTTCTGCGTCAGCCTCTCGAGCGCCCCCAGCGTGCGGCCCTGGAACTCCACGAGGCTTTCGCATTCGCACGGGCTCCGAAGCTCTGTACCTGGGCCGATGCCCTCCTCTGCCAGCCGGGCGCAGAAAGTCAGGGGAATGAGAATCTGCAGGAGGGCGAGCCGGCCCTGGCAAGGCCCTCCGCCCCTCCACCCGCCTGTGGCTGAGTATGTGGGCTTCGCATTCAAACAGACCTGGGATGAATACCAGCTAGGTCGCTGTGAGATACTGCAAAACTCACTCAACCTTTCTAAGCCCGAGTTTCCTTGTCTGGAAAAACGAATACAATGAGAAAAGCTATTCATTGGGTGGTGCTGAGGATTCTATGGGGTGTGTGAGTGTGTGTGTGTGTGTGTGTACACATCTTAGAAGAGTATTTCTCAAACCTTAGTGCTCACTGGAATCACCAGATCTTGTTAAAATATAGATTCTGATTCTGAACGGTGAAGGAGCTGAGACTCCACGTTTCTAATAAGCTACCAAGTGATGCTGACGCTGCTGGTCTGTGGACCACACTTTGAGATGCAAGGGTCCAAATGACAGCAGCACTCTCCAAGTGAAACTTCAGGCAGTGATGGCAATATTCTGTTGCTGGTCTGCCCAGTGCCAAACACACAAGCCATATGCAGCTATTTAACATTTGAAATGTGGCTAATGTGATTAAAGAACTAAAATTTTTAACTTTTTAAAAGTAATTTAAATTAAGTGGGCACATGTACCTTATTAGAGAGGGAAGATCTAGTGTACTACCTAGCTCAAGTATACACTTTATTGTGTATTTCAACTAGACCAGTAATTCTCAAAGTGTGGTCCCTGGGCCAGCACCATCACTATCACTTAGGAAGTTATTAGAAATGCAAATTATCAGACTCAAGCTCAGACCTACTGAATCAGAAACTCTGGGGTTGGAGCCCAGCAAATGGTGTTTTAACAAACCCTCTGGGTGAATCTGATGCACCCTGATGTTTAAAAACCACTGGTACAAAGAAACAAAAAACCACTGATCCAAGTTTACCTCCACACACATTCTAGCATTTCTGAAATCAAAATATGTGCCTTACAATTAAATTTGGCACCTATTTTTTCTTAGCAGTATATAATAATGGATAGTCTTAAAATGGATGGTATCTTAGATTCGCCAAAATTTTGTAAACGTGTGCCATTTTTCATAAAACAGCACAATACCTGGTGCTTGGCCTTCACAAAAGAGTTGCTCTTACAATTTAAGAGCGATTTCTTAGTCTCATTGGACCCTTAGCAAATTGCTGTATGATATGTCATCAATGGTCTTGATAACAGTCCTACAAAGACTCCTAACTTCACAGCTGGGGAAACCAAGGGCAGAGAAAAGAAAAGTTCTGCCCAAGGTCATAGAGCTGATTGGTGAAGAGCCTCAACCATAGAGCCCAGATTTCTCTAGGAATTTTAGAGCTGGAAGCAAGCTTGGGCAGCCAGCGCCCTCCCCTGTTACAGAAGTGGGACGTTATGGTAGCGGTGGAGGTTAAGTGACTTGCCCAAAGTCACACTTCGGGGGACATAGGAGTCAGGACAGGAAGGGCCCTCATAGAGAAACGAATCCAGTGCCCCCGTAATATCCTAGCTAATTATTAGAGTTAGCCTAGGGAGAGAGGGGGAGAGGGAGAGAGGTAGGTAGGTGTGTATGTATGTATCCTGTGTGTAGATACATGTATGTATACACGCACATATATATTTTAAAACTATTTTTTTAAAACTATAGATTCTCTAGGCCAGCCCTGCTCTACTGAACCTAGCTCTAGAGGGGCCTGGTAATGTGAAAGAGTCACGTCTCTGGCCTGGGTTAGAGTCTAAAGACTCTGGGGTGAAAATTCTCCCCGAGAAGTTCCCTATATGACCTATAAGGTACAGTACACAGGCTCAACAGCCCACTTCTCCTTCACAGATAGAGTTAGTCCCTTTTTCTTCAACTGAGCACCAGATGAAGTGGAAGGATTGAATTTATGGGCAATATTGAAAAAAAAAAATACATGTCTTTGCGTACTTGGAACACTCTCAGCCCTGCTACTTTGCCAGGTCTGTGTAGTTGAATTCCAACACGTTAAAGGAGTATGTGATGTGACTCTGCTAGCAAGGAGTTTGGCATGCCTTTGAAAAAGTTTCCTACAATTACTGTGAACACCCACTAATTTGAGGGGCAGGTAGCCAGCCCAGTCGAATACTTAACTTGGACGTTCTTGGGAATCACCCGAGGGTCTTGTTAAAGTACAGAATCTGATTCATTCGGTCTGGAGAGCTCTGGAAATGCTTGCTGTTCTAACAAGCCTCTGCCGCTGGTCCACGGACCCCACTTTGAGTAACAAGGCTCTGTGTAATGAGTCCGAACCCTGGCTATAACTCTACCAAGGGGATAGGGTTGGATAGAAGGAGGAAAGCTAGAAGGCTGGGCACTGAATGAAGTCAGATGCGCTCACCCGGGCAGATGCTGCCTCTGAGGTTCTCCAGCAGGTGCGTCATGGTGCCAAAGTCAGGGGAGTAGGACACATGCAGCTCCGCGGGCTCGGAGGCGATCTGGCGCAGCTCCTCTTCCACTGCCTTGCCCACGCCCACGGCGTACATGACAATGCCTACAAGGCAGGGCGGAGGGACACAGGGGGCGCCCCAGACCTCAGTTAAGACCCCCTCCGGCATCCAACCCAACCCCAGGCCAGTGCGTCCCGCGCCAAGCCCACCTTCCTCCTTGGCGCGCGCGGCCCACACCGAGATGTCATCCTGGGAGCGGCCGTCGGTGAAGACCAGGCCCACGCGAGGCACGTTGAGGGCGCGGGGCCGTGCGCCTTGCGCCTCGGAGAAGCTGTGCTCCACCATGTGGCGCAGCGCCAGCCCTGTCATGGTACCGCGCTCCATGTATTCCACGGCCAGGACCGCCTGCTTGACCTCAGCCGCCGTGCCATAGCGGCCCAGCGGGAACTCGGTGCGCACGCGGCTCGAGAACTGCACCAGCCCCACGCGGGTGCCCTCGGGGGACACGTCCAGGAAGTCGACAATCTGATTCACAAAGCGCTTCACCAGCTCGAAATTCTGCGGGCGCACGCTCTTGGAGCCATCGACGAGCAGAACCAGGTCCACATGGCCTTCCCGGCACCCTGCATAGTGAGGAGAGCTTAGATTGGGAGCCAGATCCTGACCTGGCAGCAACCATCTCCCCACTGGGTCATTCACATTTATTACACAAGAGGTACCGTGTGTGTGTGTGTGTGTGTGTGTAGTCCTTCCTGTGCCAGGCACTGTACTAGATAATAATAGTAATATTAATAAATTAATAAAACTTTATGACAATAATAAATTTATCAACAATAATATATATTGAAAAAGTATATGTTGCTAATATATAAACAATCACAATAATAAATAAAAACAAAAACGTTATTATTTGACAGCTTACCATGTGCCAGGTCCTGGGCTAGGTGCTTCATATATTTTTTCTCAATCCTCCCAATAATCTTGGGTGTTATCCCCAGTTCATATAACCTTAGGTTCTGAAGCATAAGGTAATTTGCTCCAGACTCCACAGCTAGTAGTGGCTGAGCAGGATTTGAAGCCAGGTCTGTCTGACCCCAAAACCCATGCTCCTGAATCACTCTACAATGTTACCTCCTCTGTTCTGAATCAGGGACTTCGCTAGGCCCTGAAGGGGGTTCAACAATAAATGAACAACCGTGACCCTAAGGAAATCAGGACAGAACAGAGCAGTCAGACATGTCCTATGCTGCAGCCAAGGAAAGTGCTCGAAGAGAGGGGCATGTAAGGAGCACAAGGTAGGAATAATTCACTCTTCCTGGAGTAGGCAAGGAAGGTTACATGGAGGTGGTAGTAACATTTGACGTTCCCCGAGGATGAGCAGGTGTGCTAGGGGACCGGCTGACGGGGTTGGCTGAGATGAGGTGAGGCAGTGGTTTCAAAATTTTGACCACACCCCACAGTAACAATAATAATACAAAAGGACACATTTGAATTTTGAATTTCGTGAAACAATACTTACTCTTTCCACATGCAGTAAGCTCTATTTTCTCCTTTTTTTAAAAAAAAAACTAATTTGATTTCATTATCCACTAATGTGGCTGCACCCACCATCTGAAAAACTCAGGTGTAAAGCATCTGAGCTCAGGGGTAAGCACAGGCAAGCCCAGAAGACTCTCGAGGGAGGGAGAAATAGGATCAAATGTGTACTTTTGACATTAACCTTGGCAGCAGGGTAGAGGATTAAGGGGAAAGAGATGGAGGCAGGACACGGCACGTCCTCCACTCCCCACCCCACCATCACCAACACACACACATTCACAGCGTACCCTTGGGCCACAGCAAGGGCAGAAACGAGGATGCTCAGAGTGTGGGCAGTGGGGCAGTGGGGCAGGGGCAGACAGAACACCCTCCCAGCCGTCACTCACGGTTGCAGCTCTTGCCATCTGCTTGGAGTTGCTGGCCCTCAGGGCACAGACAGTGGTAAGAGAGGCCCTCACTCACACACTGGAACTCACATCCATGGTCTACACCATTGCAAAGGTCCCGGGCTTCAATGAGAGACAAGTCAGGATGAGTCAGGGTGGACTCCCCCAGCCAAGATCCCTTGCCCCTCTGCACAAATACAAGAGACCCCTCCTTACCCTCACAGCTCTTCCCATCGGGCAGCAAGTCGTGGCCCTCTCTGCAGTGGCACCGTGGCCCAGCAAAGGTGCTAACACACTCGTGCTGGCAGCTGTGGTTCCCAAAGCTGCAGTGGTCAATGGCTGGTGGGAAGGAAGAGAGAGAGCAAAGGTGTCGCTTCTGATTGGAGCCATCAGGGACCTCAGTCCAGGATGCTAGCGGTAGGGTGCTCACCCCTGCAGCTTCTCTGGTCCTGCTGGAGTACAAAGCCAGCTCGGCAGCGACAGAAATAGGAGCCTGGGGAGCTGATGCAGTGGTGCTCACAGCCTTGGGTCCCTTGAGTGCACAGGTCAATGACTGAGGAAGAGGTGAGGTCAGCATATGCCCTGGGTGGGGCTGCACTTCTCAGCCCCAACAGAACAATCATCTGAGGAGCTTTTTAAAAATACCTATGCCTGGGCCCCAACCCCTCAAGATCCTGACTGGGTGACCCAGGCGTCTCTGATTTCTACAAGCACAGGCCTCCTTCCTAGTGGGCCAGGTGGCTCTCCCGACTCAAGGCCTGGCTGCAACCCAATGTGCCCGTTGCTAAGCCAGGCATATGAACAAGAATCAACAATTGTAGAAGACAGGTCCCCTGCCCTCAAGATGCCCACTGACTTATGGAGGAGAACCAGGCTCTGCCACTACCTACTGAGCCTCCGTTTACCCATCTGCAAAATGGGAATATAATGGAAGAGTGCAATTGCTATTTACAGCTTCCTTCTAAGGAGGGTGAACTACCGCCTGATGAGTATCTTGATGGTGTAGATGTGCAAAGACAGCCCAGAGCTAGAAAATAGGGACTGGGGAGATGCAGATTGCCCTGCACGAAAAAATGAGAATTTGGGGTTCCTAGAGAACAGATGGGAGTGAAGAGAGGAAGAGCAAGGGAGATAGTGTGAGCATGAGTACCTGTGTGGGCTGAGGTTGCCAGTGAAAAATCACTTGTAATGGGGTGACAGGGCTTTGGGATCAGGGTATCTAATATAAAATTATTAACAGTAGGTGTTTCTTTTGTGTATGTATGTTTGACTTCACTTAGATGTAATGCACACCTCTGGCCACCCCCATCTTTAGTAAAACGGACATATGCGTGACTTACATATAAACACACACACATGCCCTTGTGTGTATAAGAGTGCAAACCAAGGAAGAGGCTGATTTATATGCATAGAACAAGAACAGCATGTGCGGGTTGAGAAATTGAGCGAGGACCCATAAACTGAATGAATTCAGCAGAAGCTCAGAGTGAGAGGTGACCATAGAATGTAAGCACTTGGGGAATTCCCAGAGATGTTGGGGAAAGATTCAAATGTTCAGAGGTCATCACATGAGGCTTCAAGCCAGTCTTTTCTAAGTTCTAGAAACAAGAAGACCCCAGCTGACATCTGCATTATTGGGAACACATGACTTATTTTCCTCAGTTGTCATGAGATTGAGAGATGATGTATGGAAAGCTTCAAGTGCATTGTCCAATACTAAATCAGCACTCCGAGAAGAGTAGCTGCCATCATGATCAAGGGAGTGGACACACATTCACAGGAAAAAGCAAATCCCAATTGTATACGGGAGGCATAGTGTGACATAGCTTTTCAGGAGACAAAATGAAGAACCGGGCCTTGAAGCATTTGCAGAGAGAAGCAGCAAGGGTAGCCCAGAAAGAGCTGAGATGCAGGAGCAGAAACGAGCAATGTATATAGAGGGGTAGGGAGGGGTATGGAGACCCTAACTGAAGACCCGAACAGTGAGTGTCTAAGTAACAGAAACAGTAAGAGGATATGCATGTGAGAATTCACAAACAAGTTTGGGAGGCATATTGGAGCCAGGTAGGAGACAAGCCCAAAATAAGAGAGACAATGATGTAGAAAGCACACTTAACCTTAGGGGTCAAGATTTCACCAAGGAATTGTTTGGCTGCAGGCAATACCTTCCCTTTCTTAGACCCATAAAGTAAGGGCACTGGACTTTTACTTCCAAAAGCCCTTCCAGACTCATTGGTCTGATGCTGGGGCAATGGGGAGCCACAAAAGACTCAGGAGCAGCGAAACTGCAGGGGGGGGGCAGCTCTCACCCAAACAGCTCTTGTTATCTGCAGCTAGCTGGTAGCCAGGGTTGCAGGCACAGTGGAACGTGCCTGGGGCGCTGACACATTGGTGCTGGCAGCCGTGTCTCCCCTCAGCACACAGGTCCTTTCCTGAGGACACACAACAGTAGAATCAGCGAGGGACAGATGGGCAGAACCCTCCAACAAGAAAAAGCTGGGTGGGGTCAGAGGCAGGCACCAAGCTCGAAGACGGCTTTAGATGGGACAAGCCTCATTTGAGAGGGCCAATCCAGATGGGAGGGCTTAGGGAAAGAATAGGGCCTGAGTAGCTCCTATGAATAGGCTCAGCAGGGGTCACCGGGCTAGATGCGTCAATGGGATAGGGCAGGAATGCACAGGGGGTAAGGCAGAGGAGGTGGAGAGGTACTAAGTCAAGGTGGGGGAAATAGTTCAAGCTGTGACTAGAACAGACCTGCAGCATTGTGGGAGGAATTAAAACGAGGGTGGGCGGGGGCCATGCCCATGTGGGCAGGACATTACTCTTTCGGGTGGGCCATTGCTCTCAGCTTTGAAAGGCGGTGCTTTTTGTGTCAAGGGGCGATTTTGGAGTTTGACCTTAGGCCTGTGGTAAACCACAACGGCTCATCCGGGTGAGCAGGCACGCTAAATGTTGCTTCTTGTGGGCGAAGCCTAAGCAAAAGTGGGCAGAGCTGGAATTCGGCAGCCTGAGGCAGCCCCGCGCCACTCCACTACCTGGTGGGCGGGGCTAGCGCTAGAGTGGGCGGCGCCTCCCGGGACCGGATGTTATTTACGTGGTGGGAAGGGGCACCTAAGCGGCTGGGAAGTCCGCGCCTCGCTCCAGCGCTCCCCTGACTCACCACACAGCCGGCCCTGGAACTGCAGGCCAAACTCCTGGATAAGATCGAACGACTCAACGAGGAAGACGTGCTCGTCCAGCGGGGGAGACGCCATGGCCCGCAGGGAGCCCACGTCGGCGCGCTGCACCCCCACTGCGTAGATTTCTATGCCGCGGGCGCGCGCCTGCGCCGCCACCTCAGCCACACGATCCTGGGGCCGTCCGTCGGTCACGATGACAGCGATGCGCGGGACGCGCGCCTCCGGGGGGCGCGCGCCCTCGGCCACACTGAAGGCCACGTTCATGGCGTACTGGATTGCCAGCCCTGTCATGGTGCCTTGAGCTAGCGGCACCAGCGCGCGGATGGCGCGCTCCATATCCTCGCGGCGCGAGAAGGCGCCGAGCGGGAAGACGCTTTGCACTTGACTCGAGTACTGGATCACGCCGACGCGCGTGGCATTGGGCCCCACGTCCAGGCCGCGGAGGAGGCCCACCAGGAACTGCCGCATGGTCTCGAACTCAAAGGGGCGCACGCTGCGCGAACTGTCAATCACGAACACCAAATCCAGGGGCCCCGACCGACACCTGGGACCTTCGAGGAGATCAGGAAGGACTTTCCTAGATCTGCAAAACCTCATATTGGAGGAGATCCCCAGGGAAACCCAGGGCAAAATAGTGCTATCCCGGCGTTAACAGCGCCTAGCACAGAATTAACCTGACAAATGTGACTTAGATACATTCACTCATCCAGCATTTGCTAAGGGCCTGGGCCAGATTTCCCCCAATTCTCTATCAGCTATTAGGGCTATTCTGAGGAGGTATTCTCCAATTCGGGAGTGGGCGAAGGGATGTGTGGCAAACTCAAATGTCTATAGGGGACCAGGCAGGCAACATAAATGAGTGAACTGGTTGGATTAGGTTGGTGGACACCTGTAACCCTCCTCCAGCCAAATGCTGCCATGCAGCCATGTGGACCCCAAGTTAACAGATCCTTGGGTTTTTCAAGAGAAGTCCCAAATCGGGAATTGTATGTGAAGTCTCCTGATTTTTCAATTAACTTTTTAAAATTAAACACCAAATGGGCGTTTTTGCATGAGCCCAACTTTGTCACCTCTAAGCCACATCCTACAGATAAGGAAACTGAGTCCCAGAGAGGGGAAGCTGGGAACTAGAACCCCGCCCCTTTATGATTTCAGAGCCTTTGCTTTTTCTCTCCCCAGCAGACCTAGCTGGCTGCAGATGGAGAACCAGCTTTTGCTCCCTTCCCCCTGTTGGTGAGGGCTGAGCCCCACTCACCTGCAAACTGGAGCTGGGTTTCCCAGGGCTGGAGAAGAAACAGCAACATGGGCAGTGGCGAGCAAAGAAGGTCCCTCATGGCGCTTGGGTGGCAGGGAACGGAAGTGTCGGATCCTGGAGGGTGCAAGGAAAAAGGCAAAGCAATAATATTTACGGAACTCTTATTCTGGGTGATGGGCACTTGGAGGGGGAGAAGGATCATGGATTTCTTTTACTAATCTCTCTACCTTTGTGTATATTTGAAGTTTGTCATAATAAAAAAAAGTACTGCATTACAGTGCTGGGAAATACAAGGAATTCTACTTTGCAGAATTGCAGAATAAAAAATAGAAAGTAGATTTTTAAAATATAACATTTAAAAAGAAAAAGTCCCCTCGGGTGCCTGGGTGGCTCAGATGGTTAAGCGTCTGCCTTCGGCTCAGGTCGTGATCCCGAAGTCCTGGGATCGAGTCCCGCATTGGGCTCCCTGCTCCTTGGGAGCCTGCTTCTCCCTCTGCCTCTCTCTCTCTCTCTCTCTCTCTCTCTCCCCCCTCTCTCTGTCTCTTATGAATAAATAAATAAAATCTTTAAAAAAAAAAGTCCCCCTAAAAGAAAAGAAAACCAAAAATAAATGAAAAAGAAAAAATACTTTCTAAATGTTTTCTAAATACCGAGCACAGTGTTAAATGCTTTTCATGCATTCGGACATTTAATCCTCTCGGCAATTCTCGCCACGGTACAGTCCTATGCTTAAGTGGTTCCAAAGATCCGTTCCGCGCGCTCTCCTCCTGGGAGAACCTCTGCAGACGAAAGCCAGCCATTCCCCACCTCGACACCCTCCTCTCCTCACACAAGGCGCTTCTATGTGGCTGTCGTTCCAACACACGCGCGCGCGCGCGCGCGCACACGCACGCACACACTCAGACATGCACCGCCCAGCCTCAGGCCGCCGAGCAGAGACGCGCCCTTTCACGGGGCTGGGGGGTTGGGGACCTTCAGCACGTAGGCCAAAACCCACCACGCAAGTTTGGCACCTCTGTTTCCCTCCTGCTCTCAGGAGGGGCCGCCAGGGGGCGTCTTCCTGGGACTGGCTGCGTTGGTTGGGTGGCCGTGGGAAGCCCACATCTGCCTAGCAGGTGCCCCTGCCCAGAGCAAACAGTGGCCGGGAGCCCGGAGGCCTTGGAGATAAGCCCGGGGCAGGATATATCCCGCACGAGGGCCGAGGAGCAGGGGCGCACAGGGTTCCGGGAACAGCTGCATGGGATGCGCCCGGAGGGCGGTGAGTGAGGCCCGAGTGCAGCCATGGACCCTATACGGGCAACAGGTGAGCGCTCACTCTTCCACTGCCCTTGGCGACGCCCCTTGATAATCCCAAAGGATTCCCGTGTACAGATGGGAAAATTGAGGCCCGAGAAGGCTGCCCGCCGAGCTGCAAAGGAACCTGCGATTAGAACCTGGGACTCTTGGCTCCCCTTCTTCCTTCTAGGCTGCCTGGCTGCCTAGCAACGTGGCGCCTAGGAGTCACTAAAGCTCTTTTCCTTACATTCACTCCCACGGCTCTGTACCCCGCTCCACCCCCGCCCCATGCTGAAGCTGCGTTAGCCGTTTTTCTGTTGCTTGTTTCTTGGCAGAGGGGACCAGCTGCCCTAACCCAACCGCAGCCCCTCTACCCCCCTCCCCCAATTCCGTGAATGGGCCTATTCTGAGCAAGGTCGGCTGCCTGCAGCTCACTCACTCCAGGCGGCCTTTCCGATCCTCTCCGCCCTCGCCTTTCAGGCCTGGTAGAAGAACAAAAATCCCTCTGGCAGGGCCCGTGGTGGGAGGTTGAGTAAGCCAGATGTGTCAGCTGCCGCTGGAAACTGGAGGGTGCAGAATGCCTTCCCTAGCTTGGGCCATAGCCAGGGCCAGAACCTCTGGGGAGCATGGGGGCCAGGACAATGGGGCCTTTGCCACCTCCTGTTCTTTCCCACCTGCAGAAGCCTCTGGGCCCTCAAATCTTGATTAGGATTCCCCCTTATCCTGCTCTCGGCCTGAGCCCACGTCTCGCCTGGCACCCCACCGCCACCCCAGGAATCCTAGAGAGTCAACATAGAGACTGCCTCAAAGTCCATCACCTTCCCAACCCTCCCGTTCCACTCAGGGATAAATAAGGTCCAGAGACTAGTGTCTTGCCCAAGGTCACACAGCAACGTGGTGACAGGTCTGAAACTAGAGCCCTGAGCTCCTCTGAGGGGTTAATCCTAAAGTTAGGAAGATTCGGAAATGCCTGAGGGTGGGGAGACTGGGCTCAAAAGGCAGGAGAGGTCTGTGAATAACTCAAGAGTTGGCTGAAGAATAAACACCGTGGGGACATTCTTGGCGGTTCCTCGAGGGAGGAGATTAAGAGAAAAGTCCCCCTCCCCGTGGTGGCCTTGTTGGTGGGGGCTCAACTTGGAAAGGACCCCACAGAAGTGAAGAAGGCCACTGCAAGTCAGATGGGGGCACCGTCAGTGGTACAGCCGCGGTTAAATACGGTCGCCCGGTCTGGCTTGACGCCTGATTCCCCCGCAGACCCCTCAGCGCCCCCAGGCCCTTTGACTCACCTGAGCCTGCCGGACAGCTCGGAGGCGCGGCCGCAGAGCGGAGCCGACGGGCGGAGCCTCCCGGGCAATTGGACCAGGTAACGGCGCAGGCAGCGTGCCCGAGGTGGGGACGGCCAGACGGCTGGAGCGAGCGGAGGCGGAGGCCGCATTTAACCGGGGCTGGCGGTGGGGAGGGGGAGCGCGGGCTGCGACCCCTCCTACCAGCAGGGAGCGATCCCCTTCCCTCGGAGGGCTGGGGCGGGGCTAGCGCGGCGCCCCTGCTCCTGCCACCCCGGGAGCCGGCGGCGCGAGCTGCAGGGCCGGATTTCGGCTCCCAGCCGGAGGCTGGGCGGCTCCGCTCTCCGCCGCCGGAATGCGTCGGAAGCCTCCGAGGCTCTTGCCGGAGTAGAGCCCCGAGGGGCGGAGCGGGGCCTGGCTCCTGCCGCCGGCTGCCTGGTCCCGCTTCCGAGGGAGCGGCCGGGGTGCTGCCCTCCGCTGCCCCCTGCGGGAGTGAGGAAAGGCCCGGGGCTCTGGTCCTGCGCGAAGGGTGAAGGGTTCAGAAGGGCAGCCGCAGGGTTCATGGCTCCCCGGGCCCCACGTGGTGGTCCCTCAAATCTCCGCCCTCGCGGACTCCTCCACCCGATCTCTCCGCGATTGCTCAAGTCTTGGGCCTACCCACCACCCTTGCTCCTCAAAACTCCCAGACCGCTGGGCTCTGACTGGCCCCATCCCTGAATTGTGGAGGCCCTGTAATCAAGGGAAGGAACGTTGCGACAGGAACAGGGCCCTTCTCTCGGGAGAAAGGGGGTTAGGAGGATTGTTTTGACCCCCGAAGGGCTCAAATGTTCCCCCTGGGTTCTGGGGACACGGTTTGGGGGGTGCTTCCATGTTTCCAGGTTTCTGAGGGCAGGCAAGAGAGCACTCTGGGCCAGGGGGTCCAGCAAAACTCTTCTCCCTGGCATCAAGAGGTCACTGGGGTGCACCCCCTCAAAGTGCAAGGAAACCATGCACCCTCACATAGTCTCCATCCCAAGGCCGGCACAGTGTGGCCTTTGTGCCCCTGGGGCCTCTCCCCAGTGCTGCAGGCTGCGTGGGGCATGGCGCCAGGCCTGCAGAGTGGCGCCTGGGTGGTCCTGGTGGGCTCCGTGCAGGCCTCATTGAGTACCTGGCAGCCTAAATATTTAACCCATGCTTACACTCAAATCCCCTCTCTTGCCTAACGCTTCCCCTCCCTGACCCCGAGTGGGGCAGAACTACATTAGCCCCTTTCCCCTATGCATTTCATTCAACCGGCTTGTTGGGTTCCATGCCACCTCTCCCCTTAACAATCACTGCTGTCTAGCCGCCGGCCTGCCCCTACTCCCAGGTCCTCCCCAGAGCGCGTCCCGGTGCTGAGGGAAGGCGTGCGCCAGTGCCTGCAGCAACGGTGTGAGCAGACAGTGCGGATCCTGCACGCCAAAGTGGCCCAGAAGTCCTACGGAAATGAGAAGCGGTAGGAGCCAAGCCCTTCCAAGAGGCCACCTTCCACTCTATGCTTGCCTCCCAGTTCGGTGCCTTTTAGAACCCTGGGGAGGGCTCAGGGCTCAACTCTTGGCCAATCAGGAGCCTTCTTCCTCAGCCCCCACCAGCCCCCATTTTGGAACCTCCCTGTGAATCTACAGTCCCCACTCACTCACTCATCCACCCATTCATTCTTTCTTTCATTCAACAACTACTTAGTGGGTGTTTAGCAGGTGCCAGGCTCTCTGGACAGTGCTGGGCCCTGGGCATACAGCTCCAGAAGCCAGATACAGCCCCTCCTCTCAAGGCATCTTCACTGTAGTGGGGAAGAGACAGACCACAAAGTCCCCTCAGTGAACAATATCCTTCCAGATCGAGAGAAGAGCTAGAAGAGTGATAGAACAGCATAATGTAGCAGATACTGAAGTGGGGGCACGTTAGCTAGAAAGGTCACGATGGTGGACAGGCCTTTTAAGGAGGTGACATCTGAACTGAAAGAGAAGCCAGACAGGAGAAAATCCAGGAAAGGTGTGTTCCAATTAAAAAGAAAAGAAAATGCACACACCTTGAGGCTGTACGAGCTTGGCCTGTCCTGGTACAAAAGAAGTCAGAGGGGCTGGAGTTAGGAAAGGAGAGGGATGTTGCAGGGAATAAAGTCAGAGAGGTAAAGCAGGGGTGCATCAGGTGAGGACTTCGGATTCAAACCACCGAAGGATTTTAGGAAGACAAGTAACATGATCAACTCGTGCTTTTTAAAGAAAGGAGAAGACAGTGTGACTGCTTTGTGCAAAGCAGGTTGGGTGGGGGGCGGGGGTGGAAGCAGAGAGAGCCGTGGGAAGGCTGATGCTGTGGTCCAGGCAAAAGTGATGGCAGTTGGGATTAAGGTGGAGGTGGTAAGAAACCCGTGGATTCTGGATGTCTTTTGAATGTGGAGGAGACAGGACTGATTAATGGGTTGAGTGAAAGCAGTGATAAAAGAAGGTTCAGATGTTAATGGGGTCCACAGTCATAGAGAAGCCCCGGGAGGGCGGTGGGAAAGGTGGAGGAGCAATCAGGGACTCTGCCCCATTTATGCTGCCTTTGAGATGTCTAGGGACGGTCAAGTGGAGATGGACGTGCGAGTCCCGCGCTTGCTTGCATGTCTCCGCAGGTTCTTCTGCCCCCCGCCCTGTGTCTACCTCGCAGGTCCCGGCTGGAGGGTGAAGCCAGTGCAGGGCCAAGGTGAGGGCGGACTCCTGGGCTGCCCGGCGCCTCCCTAGGCGGGGGGACCGCACGGTGGGCCTGGGAGCCGGGCCGGTCGCAGGCGCAGTCTCGCCGCGCCCTCTGGCGGCCAGAACTCAGCCTGCCTGCCGCCTGAGTCCTTCCTGAGCCCGCTCGCATCGCTTTCCAGCCCACCAGGCAGCGGAAACCGGGCCCACGGTCTGCGGTTACATGGGACTGGACGGCGCGTCCGGCAGCGCCGCCGAGACGCAAAAGTTGAATTTTGAAGAGCAGCCGGACTCCAGGGTGAGAGCGCACGGGACACGGTCCGATTCTTGCTCCCATCCTTGCCCCTCCCTCGGCGAGGAGGGCTCCTTCACACACACCCCCACCCCCGAAGACGCCAAGAGATAGGTAGAGAGGCGGGGGGGGACCGGGGTTCTGCCTCGAGGGTGAGCCCGGGAGCTGGGATTGTGCTGCTTCACGTCACGTCTGATGGGGCAGACGTCAAAGACCTGGTGGCGCAGGGCTGGGATGAGACGGCCCCGCGCCCGCGTACCCCGTAGGAATTCGGTTGCGCCAAGACCCTGTACATCTCGGACGCAGACAAGAGAAAGCACTTCCGGCTCGTGCTGCGGCTGGTGCACCGAGGGGGCCGAGAGCTGGGCACCTTCCACAGCCGCCTCATCAAGGTCATCTCGAAGCCCTCGCAGAAGAAGCAGTCGCTGAAAAACACCGACCGTGAGCCGGGCGGGGCGTGAGCACCGGGCGGGGCGGGGACGTGCCACCTGGTGTGGAGCGGCGCAACTGGGGAGGGCGGAGGCCTAGACTGGAGGGGTGGGGCCAGAGTGGAGAGGTGGGGTCTGAGCCGAGAGAGGGGTGGGGTCTGGGGGAGCGGGTGCGGCTGAGGTCCGAGAATGAGAAACTAGAGAAGCAAGCGCAGAGAGGAAAGGGGACCGACCCCACACTCTGGGAAAGGGGGCGGGAGGGGGCGTCCAGAGCAGACAAAAATGGCCGGCAGGTGCTGAGCTAAAGACTAATTAAAAGTGATGGAAATTTAGTCAAAAATACCTATTCAGGGCCTGATGTGGGCCTGGCTCTGTGCTGGATGCCGGGTCCCTGTAAAGTAAGGACAAGTGTCTGTTCTGGAGGAACCCACAGCCTAGCTTGAGAGAAAGACACACATCGCTTATCAAAGAGACAGTTTGAAATAAATACTGCCCTGGGTGCCAAGTGACAAATCCCAGGGCTGGGGGCTTTGAGAATGGGGGGCGGGGGGACGGGGCAGGGCCTGAATAACAGTGAGGACACCACCACTACCCTGGCAGGGAGGTGGGGGAAGACCTAGGGGAAGGTGGAGCTTTCCTGGCCAACATGAACACGAATCATCCTATTTGATGTTCATCAGGTCCCTCTGAAGTGGGATCAGTGTCAAGCCCTAGAAATATCACTCTGAAGTGGGTACTATCATTGTTCATATGTCAGGGATGAGGAAAATGAGGTCTGGAATATTCACCCATTCATTTAATGAACTATTGGGCCTATCACAATCCAGATGACTTGGCTAAGACTGTCCAGCTAGGAAGAGACCCAGCCACAATTTGAACTTGAGTCAGTGTGCCTCCAGAGCCCAGGTCCTACCCCTACATCATATTTACCTTCTGTCTGTTAAAAACCCCATAGAACGTCTCAGACCGAGGCAGTACTCTGTCTGGCCCTTGGCATCAGGTAAGTGCTAGAATGTGATGGTTAGGAGTGCAGATTCTGAAGCCAGGTGGCCTGAGTTTGAATCCTGACTTGCCAGCCTTGAGATGTGGAGCAAGTTGCTCTCTTAAATAGAGATAATATCTGCTCCAGAGCACTGTTGAGAGAATCAAATGAGCTAACACATATGAAGCATTTAAAATCGTACCTGACACACAACAAATGTTAGTTATCATCATTATCCAATGGATGGGAACTTGGACTAAGTATAAATTGAGCACCCACAGTATGCCTAGTCCTGGAAGGGGAGAGAGGGTGATGACCCAGTGCTTTCTCCCCAGGTGGTCAAAGCTCAGTCAGGAAACAAAACCATGGCTCTGAGTATGTGTGATAAGCTGGAAGAGATCAGTGTCAAGCCCTAGAAATATCACACTGTTGTTTCACACCACATGGTCTTTGCTTATGCAGGCCTTGAGCAACTCGTACCTACTTCCTGCTCCCCAGCTGAGAGTATAACCTCCTCCAGGAAGCCCTCCTTCACCCAGACCTTACCACATCATTTTGAAATTTTATATTTATGTCCCTCCTCTCTGAGAATGTGAACTCCTCCAGAGCAAAACTGGGTCTGATTCACCCTTTGGTGTCCAGTACCCAGCACAGTGCCTGCCCAAAAGGAAGCACTTGGTGAATGCTTGGTAATATTATTTGTTGAACTGAAGGATGCCCGGGCAGCACCGAGGAACTGGCCAAAGTTCAAAAGCAAGACTACAAGCAGGTACTAGGTAAATGACCATGAAATAGGCCCAGTGTGTCTAGGCCAGTGAGCATATGAGGGGACTGACACAGGGGACAGAGGACCAGAAATTGTCTGGCAAGTACAAGGAACCAAGCCAGGCTTGGGTGCTGATTTCACCTCCCTTCACAGTGTGCATATCCTCGGGCTCAAAGGTCTCCCTCTTCAACCGCCTGCGCTCCCAGACAGTGTCCACGCGCTACCTCTCTGTGGAGGACGGGGCGTTCGTGGCCAGTGCGCGCCAGTGGGCTGCCTTCACGCTCCACCTGGGTAACCGCAGCTGCGGACCTGGGGCTGGGCGCTTTGCATACCTGAGTTCATTTCACCTTCACTGTAACCCCTTGAGAAAAGTCAACTCTGCCCACGGAACTGAGGCTTGCCCAAAAGTCCCAGTGAGTCTGTGACTCTTCCAAGCCATTCTGGCTCCAATGTCCAGCCCTCTCCCCTCATCTCAAACCCCACCCCAGGAGCAAACATCTTCAAGGATGGCCACAGATGACCCCTCCGTGCATGCTGACCCTACCCACGAGACCCATGTGCGATGTGGGCTGGAGCCAGAAGCAAGGAGGGCAGGGTTGGGGGCAGAAGCTTGGAACCCCTGAAACCTTCCTTCCTTCCCTTCCCTCTTTTCACACCAGCTGATGAACACTGTTCCCAGGGGGACTTCCCGCCTCGAGAGGGCTACGTCCGCTATGGCTCCCTAGTGCGACTTGTCTGCACTGTCACAGGCGTCACACTACCTCCAATGGTATGAGAAGGGAGGGCATACCTGGGGGGGGATCCCCAAAGATTCATGTGGAAGGTATGACCCACAAGGACAGGGCAGTCATAAAGACACCTGTTCTCACTCTGGATACTTAGTGCTTTGTGGGGCTGGATGGCGGCAAAGGGTGGGTGGTGGGGGGTGGGGGGAGGAGAATCTGCCAGTGCTCACACGGCTATTGGATAGCAGAAAGCTAGCTGGGCGGAGGGAAGCCTCTGGCCACCCAGGCATCTTGCTGCCCTGCACCCCTTCTGTTGTAGATCATCCGCAAAGTAGCCAAGCAGTGCGCGCTCCTCGACGTGGACGAGCCCATCTCCCAACTGCACAAGTGTGCATTCCAGTTTCCTGGTGATCCTCCCGGAGGGGTTGGCACTTACTTATGCCTGGCTACAGACAAGGTGGTGCAATTCCAGGTGAGGGGTAGAGAGTATTGGCACCAAGCATCCTAGAAAGCCAGAACACAGAGAACCATAGATCGTAAGATCATCATCATCATCATAATGACTGCTGCTTACTGAGCAATACTGCCTCTCAGGGAATGTTAGAGTCGTAGACTATCAGGACAGAATCTGAGAATGAAGATTATTGAGCCGTGCTCCTTCCCAAAGAATATTAGAGTCATAGAATGTTTGGAGATAAGATTATAAAATGAAAATAAAAATAGCAATAAGTAATAGTATTGAGTATTATTGTGCAAAGAGCATTAAAATCATAGAATGTTAAGCCATAGAATTATAGAATGTGGAAAATTATTATTATTATTATTAAGCAGTACAACTCCCAAAAGAATATTGTCAGAGAATGTTGAGATAAAATCATAATGTGTAGAAAATAACATTATCATTGAGCAATATTCCCTCTCAAAGAATTTAAAACTGTAGAGTAGAATTGCACAATGTTAAAAAAAAAAAATAGCATTCTAGAATCCTAAGAAAATAGACCTTTAGAAACCAGCTAGTTCAGCGAACCTATTTACCTCTGGGAACGGAAGGGTCTTGTCCAAGCTCACAGGGCAGGTAAAGCTCAGAGCCTAGGACTGGACCCTGGAATGCAGAGGCTCGGGCACTATGCTGGCTCCCCCATGTTGGTGGCCACCATCCCCTCGGTCTCCTCCCAGGCCTCCCCCTGCCCCAAGGAGGCAAACAGGGCGCTACTCAACGACAGCTCTTGCTGGACCATCATCGGCACTGAGTCGGTGGAGTTCTCCTTCAGCACCAGCCTGGCGTGGACCCGGGAGCCAGTCACTCCGGTGCCCCTCATCAGCACCCTGGAGGTGAAATCTGGGCGGAGGCCGGCGCTGGCGGGCGGGGATCTGACACATCGGGTGTGGTGTAGGGGCTGGCGAGGGAGAGCAGGAGGCTCTCGGCCACAGCACCCACTCCCTCCCTCCCCCAGCTGAGCGGTGGGGGCGACGTGGCCACGCTGGAACTCCACGGTGAGAACTTCCACGCGGGGCTCAAGGTGTGGTTCGGGGACGTGGAGGCCGAAACCATGTACAGGTATAGGGGGCGCCTCCCTTGGGCCGCGGGGACCGGACGGGTGCGCGTCATCGGCGTCACTGCAGCCCTAACCTTGGTGCCGCCTCAGGAGCCCGCGGTCCCTGGTGTGCGTGGCGCCCGACATAGCCGCCTTCGGCAGCGACTGGCGCTGGCTGCGCACACCCATCACTGTGCCCGTGAGCCTGGTGCGCGCCGACGGCCTCTTCTACCCCAGCGCCTTCTCCTTCACCTACACCCCGGAGTACAGTGCGCGGCCCCGGCCCCCGGGCGACCCTGAGCCCGCTCCGGACGCCGACGCGCTCCTCGAGAGCATCCACCACGAGTTCACGCGCACCAACTTCCACCTCTTCATCCAGACTTAGGTCCGCGCGCATGCCTGGCCCGGGCCAGTTTTCTGGGTCCCAGGCCCTACCCCCGGCCCATTGGCTGCCAAGTGAAGGCCAAACCCTGGGTGGGAGGAAGCTCTCACCATAGAAACCGTCACTCACATCTTTATACATCCAAGAAGACACGACCTGAGTGATGCTATGATGTCTGTGTCCAGACACCAGTATGGATCTCCCTGTGTCTGTCCGACTCTTTTTAAATCAAGCAATCTTTCTCTCTCTCCTGCAGTAACTTTGCACGTCTCCCTACTGTGTGTCTCTATCCCTCCAACCTTGTTTCTCTCTGTTTCTCCTTGTCTCACTAGGATTTCACACACTCTTAAGAGTCAAGTCTAGAGTGTTTACCCTCCGTGCAGTTGTGTCTCCCCTTGAAGAGAAGCCACCTAGTGTCACACACCCAGGCATGGAACCCAGGCTCCTGAGACATGCCCTGGAGCATCGTGTCCTACATGCAGTACTAGATTTGCCCTGCAGTGCCAACTACCTAGAGCACCAGGTCCTGCCTAAAGCCCTGGCTCTTACCTGGAGCATTAGGTGCCGCGTGGATCACTAGGTACTGCCTGGAGTGCTGGGTTCCACTTGGAGCAGTAGGTCACTCCTAGAGCACCAGGTCTCACCTGGAGCACTGGGCTCCCCCAGCCCACCAAATCCCACCTGGTGCAGGTGCTTGCTGGAGCACCAGGTCCGATCCGGAACACTGGATCCCACAGGAAGTACTGAGTCCCTTCTGGAGCGTGAGGGTCCTGCCCTGAACTACTGGCTTCCATCCTGGAACACAAAGACCTGCCCCTCGTCATACTCGCAATGGCTGGACCAGGCGCAGTACCCTTGCCCATGTTGGCTCTCTGGCCTATGGCTTTGGTGCCTGCGACTGCGGTCAGGTGCTGCCCTCTTAACTTTCCCCCCAGGCACTTCTCTGCAGGCCCAGCGGGATGCAGTCCTGCAGATCAGGGATTCCTCTATGCCAAGGCAGTCTCATCTGCATGACCCAACTCTCCAAGGAGGGGGGTGCTCAGTGTACTCCCCCCATCACACACACACAGAGGAAGGGAGCACAAGTCCGATGGAACAGAGAGCCTGCCTTTTTGACCCTTGCCAGAGAAGGAATGGCATTCAGAAGCAGCTAGCATCCCTGAGCTCCTGTCCCTGCCCCGGGGCCCACCTGTTGGCTCTGGGAATGAGTTACCCTTCTAGCTATCCCCCCCAATCCAAGCAAAGATGCTCCCCAGGCCCAGGGGCAAACACAGGATACAAAACACAGGACAACCCCGGGCAGAACTGCCGGGATCAGCTGGGCGATAAGCCGGCTGAGAGAGGAGCTGCTCTGCATGGGGCCTGGGGACCGAATCCCAGTCCATCCTGATCAACGCGCACCTCCTCTGTCATGTCTGTGCTTTACAGGGAAGTAGAAAAACCAGGCAGGGTCCTGGCTCAGGCGGTTGGGACCAAGGATATAGATATACCATGGGTGCCGGAGACCTGTACCAGTCCCCGTGGTTCCCTTGGGGAGAACTGATCTGAAATGCGGGTTCAGGGCTCTCACCCTTCCCGGCCCTTCCTTGAATTCTGAGCAAGGGCCCAAAATTTCCCGAGGGGAGGAGGTGACCTTTGCTCTTTAAACTTCCCAAAGTCATCGGGAAGCTCCGTCATCTGCCATCAGGCTGAAACCCGCTATGGCAGGGAAGGAGAAACTTGTTGAAGGGCCCTCGTGGCCCCTGAGAACGCATCCCGGCCCAGGAATGCAGGGAACAAGTTGAATGGGAAACGGCCCGACTCGAGTGCCCACCCCACGAGAGTTTGCTCTCACGGCCCCGTGATGCTGTTGAAGCAGGAAGCCACTTGTGGGAGACTGAGTTTCACAGCACACCACACAGGGCGTTGGGGCACGAGGGCCCATTCAGCGCTGCCCTCAAGGACTTCCTCTGCCACTTGACAAGGCAGGAGTCCTGGAAGCCAAGATCCAGGGCTAGCCTGAGAGCCCAGGCCCAGCCATGCAGCTTTGTCTTCCTTGGCACTCCCCTCAGGGCACTATAGGGCCCTTGGTCCCGCCTGTGTACCCACGTGGACGTCTGTGACCTCACAGCTCCAGCCCTGGCCTGTCTTCTGTGTTCCAGCTGCTGTTCTGTGCTTGGAGGTCCTTCTAGCCCCGACCCTGAATCCCTCTGTCATCCAGTCTCCTCCCTGTCCACCCCCTCACAGCAATGCACCCCTTATCTCCCGCCCTCACACCTCCCCAACACAGAGGCCTAAGCACTCCACCTCTCCATCTCGCCTTCTGCACTAGAATAGGCTTCCTTCTTTCCTCTCCCTCCACCTACTGCCTTGTTCTCCAAGACCAGCTCAAATGTCTCCTCTTCCAAGATTTCCCCAGGGGAGGTTCAGCTAGCTACCCATCTTATGGGGCCCAGTGCAAAACGAAAATATATGGGGCAAAAAGCGAAGAAGAAGAAGAAAATGAAAATGTATGGCACCTTGTTCAAAAATTATTAAGAATTTCAAGACAGTGACACCAGAGCATAAAATCAAGGCAGGCCCTTCGAAGTGTGGGGCCTTGAGTGACTGCACAATTCACATGCCCTGGCCCCACCCCATGTTCCCCGAGCACTTCACTGGGACCATGTCACCACCCACACTGCATCAAAGAGCTTTATGTACATGTTAATTGTCCCCTCTAGACTGTGAGCTCATGGGGAAAGAGGCTCATGGCTGTGTCCTAGAGGGCGCATTAGCATACCTTGGACTTTGAGTGGGGCTCAATAAATACCATATGCCACACACTGCATTGGCAATTTGGATATTTGCAAGTGCAAAGTGAAACCAGCAGGTGGCACTGTTTCCCGCCCAAGAGTTACGCTTTCATTTATTTCTCGTTCAAGAACTGTTAGGGTCTTAAAAGATAAAATCTTAACATTTTCACACTGTCAGGATCAAAACTGGGCTGAGCGTCCTTGCCCTAGTCCGTTTTACAGACGAGGAAACAGGCTCGGAGAGAAGGCCCATGAAGCTCCGAGAACAGACTGATGGCAGAGCCTAATTTAAATGGTATAGTCCTGATGTTAAATCTGGGACTCTGAGGTTCTCAGAGTGAGAATAAAGTCAAAATCTCGGTTCTAAAATCTCCTAGCTTACCAGCTCTTCTGTTGCCTAAGGTTCCACCATGAACAAGCTAGCCTACAGGCTTAAGCATTGACCTTTGGGTTTCTCTCTCTTTTGTTTAAGTGGGGTTTTCTCAAAGAGAAACTGTTAAAACTGCAGTGTGGGTAGAATTCTGACACCTTCCTCCCTGGGGAAGACTGTAGACTGCTGAGCGCACATACCGTGAAGACAGCAAGGGAGGGAGGAAACAGCTTTAAGGGGAATGTAACCAATAAGATAATATCCAGTAAGTTTGCAAGGGTCATCCTTGACCATACTCACCAAAAAAAAAAAGGCCCTCCGGGCAGGCTTGGCTCTCTCCCCGACCCCAGGGGACAAAGGCAGGCGGGGAAGTAGGCACAATAATGCTCTCCGGGGCAGAAATGATAAACACCTGCTCAGGCTGGCTGCTGGGAAGGGGAAGGCAGAGCCTTGTGACCAAGTTCTTTATGGATTCACTTTGATTATAGAGTGCTGAAGTGGAGCCCACTCTGCAGAGCTCATCCCCAAGCCCCCATCTGGTTCTAAACCCCCTCCTCTCCGCCCCAACCCTGGCTGGTATGTGAAAGTGTGCCATCAGTGCCTCATCCTGGCGAGGGGTGTCCTGGGCTTGGCTGATTTTGTCCTCGAATCTATCTATCTATTGATCCCCTTCTCCTCACACTAATCACTTGTATGTATTTTCAGAGGGATCACCTTAAAACCAAGGAACACAGAGCAAATGGTGGCTTTTCAGACAACAGCCATCTTGGAGGCAAAGTCGTACGTTGAAGCTGGGCAGGTTTGGCAAGTTCAAGTCGCTTAACCTCTCTGTGCCTTAGTACCCCCTTCTGTAAAAAGGGTAGTATTTGTTTCACAAGACGTCACGAGGAAGAAAATAACCAATATATGTAAAACGCTTTCAACAGGGCCTGGCCCACTGTCACCACTTTATAAGAGACCCTTGCTGTCATTGTCATTATTCCAGAAGTACGTTTAGAGGTGATCCAGACATTGCGCTCCCCCCAACCCCATTTCACAGATGGGGAAAGTGATGGTCCAGAGGAGGCAAGTGACCTTCCTGTGTTAGTTTTCTTCATTGTGTAACAAACTACCACAAACGTAGCAGGTTAAAATAACACCTGTTTATTGTCCCACGGTTTCCATGGATTGGGAGTCCAAGCACAGCTTAGGGTCTTCTGCTAAGGGTCTCCCAAGACCATAATCAAGGTGCGAGCCAGGACTGACAGGGCAGTCTGTCTGCCTATTCCAAGCTCACAGTTGTTGGCAAAATTCATGTCCTTGTAGGTATAGAACTCATCGGAAGCTTGCTTCGTCAAGGCCAACAGGAGAGCATCTCTCTTACCGGGAAGGTTCCAGACCCTCTTATTCATGCTTTCAAATGATTAAGCTTGGCCCACCCAGGGTAATCTCCCTTTTTACTAACTCAAAAATCAACTAATTTGGGACCTCGATTACCTCTGCAAAACTCCTTCGCCTTTCCTATCTGATGTAACCTCATCATAGAAGTGGCATCCATCATGTTCACAGGTCCTGCCCATGTTCAAGGGGAAGGAATATACAGGTGTCTACAACAGGGGGAAGAATTCTTGGGGGCCACCTTAGAATTCTGACTCTCCCACCCCCCAAAACTACTTATCAAATTCCTGGCAAGGGGGAATCTATTTGGCCCATAGGCCTCCCCATGCCCCATGAAGGAAATGCCCCATACGGGGGTCCATGCTTCTCCTACTTCAGGAAAATGGCAAGATCATGAACAAAATGGCTCAATATTGTCTGAAATCAACTTTGCATCCTGTGCCCAATTCTCAGAAATAATATCATCCTAAGTTGCCCTCAGA